CTTTCTTTTTTTTTTTTAAATATCTTTTATTGATTTTTTACAGAGAGAAAGGGAGAGAGATAGAGAGTTAGAAACATCGATGAGAGAGAAACATCGATCAGCTGCCTCCTGCACACCTCCTATTGGGGATGTGCCCACAACCAGGGTACATGCCCTTGACCGGAATCGAACCTGGGACCTTTCAGTCCGCAGGCCAATGCTCTATCCACTGAGCCAAACTTACAGAGGGCTTTCGATGGCTTCACTGAACCTTTGACCTTGATCCAGTGCATAATAGGAAGCCTTCGATGGGGAGGCATAGATGAGAGTGGGGTTTGAGGAAGAGAAGAGCTTCCGTTTGTACCTGATGCATATGAGTGAGGAAGGCCCAGAGCAGGGCGCCTAGGAAAGAAATTGCTGATATATTGGAAGTGGACTCAGTGGTCCTCGGAGAAAGAGGAGGATGGATGGGAGCCGCTCTGAGAGTTGGCTGCATACGAGGGAGGAAGGAAGGGCAAGAAGAGCCAACAGTTTGAGCTGGGGCTGGGAGTATCTACCCCTGGCAGAAATTGGGAAATAGGACAGAAGAAGGAGGCTGTGGCAGGGAGTGGCCCCATTAGATTTGGGGTGATGATGAGTCACCCACCTGGGGTGATGGCATCATCAGATACTAGACCAAGAGTGGACTGGTGAGTGGGCAGGGGGTCATGCTGGGGCTTGCAGGGGAGATGATGGAAGGAGTTGCTATGTGGGGAGAGGGTGGGTATCAGGAGTCCAAGGACCAGGCCCTGAAGTGGGCAGATTGAGGCTGGGGACGAGGGGTAGGTAGTTGCACAGAGGAAGGGTCACGAAACAGGCAAGGCCTTGGGTTTGGCAGCTGGGCAATGAGAAGAGCCCGCGCATCAGGGCCAGGGGGTAGTGGAGGGAGGTGGGCAGGTGCTGACCGGGAAGGGGTGAGTAGACACTGAAGCACATTGGCTGGGCCACAGCCCTGGAGAAGAGGGCCCAGGGGTGGGGGCGTGGCCAGCTATTGGGTGTGTGGTTGGGCCTTGGGTGTCAGTGGTGGTGTTCGTCCGTGGGGTGGTGCAGTGCTGGAAGTCAAGCTTTGTGTGTGGGTGACTCTGACTCCTGTTGACGCTGTGGGGAGGGGAGGACATGTGGGATGGCCGGGCATTGAGCTATGGATCCACTGCTACGAGTTTGTATTTTGTGGAGCCGTGTGTCTCTGAATGTGCCTATTGTAGAGGTGTATGTCTGTTGTGTGTGTTGTTTTCTGGGCATGAGTTTCTCTGAGCAGTTCCCATCAAGGGTGTTATCCTAGACTTTGTGCAGGGTGATGGTGCCCCCTGGTGGAAAGACGGGACAATGACCCAGCTGTTCATTCTTGTCTTCAACAACCTTTGATTTAGATCAGGGTTTTCTCAACCGTGAAACTTGGGACAGAATAATTCTTTGTTGCAGGAGGCTGTCCTGTGCATTGGAGGGGGGTTAGCAGCATCCCCGGCCTCCAGCCACTAGATGCCAATGGCACCCTCACCCCCAGCCCCCACCCCCTACCCCCCACCCCCCAGCGTGAAAAACAAAATGGTTCCAGACGTTGCCAAATGTCCCTGAGGGGCAGAGTCACCCTGGTTGAGAGCTACTGACTGAGACCTTTTAAGTGCCAGGCGAGCAGAGCTGCTGGGTGATAGGAACACAGTGGGGAATAGGACAGATAGGATCCCTGCCCCTCGTGGATCCCTGCCCCAGGTAGACAGGCAGGCAGGCAGGACAAGGAAACAAATGCACACAATAACGACACATGGTGGCGCGTGCCATGGAAGAAACAGAGTCAGGGCTGTGGCACAGATGGCGGGGCAGTGGCGATGGTGGCCGCTTTAGCTGTAACAGTTGGAACAGGCCTCTCTGAAGAGGTGTTAGGATTCGGGGAGGAGAGCTCTAGGAAGGGACTGGCAAGTGCGAAGGGCCCGAGGCAGGAAGGCGCCGAGCGTGAGCGTGTGCTATGTCAGGGACAAGGAGAGAGGTGTCCGAGGATGGCTCTCCTCTGCTAAACGGGGAAGCAGGAGTTGGCACTAGGTAGGCACAATGGAGGTCCAATGGGCAGGCTTGCCCGGGGATGGGTTTCCTTCCCTGTCCCTCGCAGTGCCTGTACCAGAGAAGGCACCTGGTACTTTCTGTGGTGGGCAAACGTTGGCGCTCATTGGACTGGCTGGAGCGGAGAGGGACTGGGGCCGGGTGGTCAGGGGGCTAGCCGGGGACTCTGTTCGGCTGCCCCCATGAGTGGCCTTCGCCCAGAGATCCCTGGTCAGGGCAGAGCTTGGGGTAAGTGGATCCCAGAGAGGGCCTGGGCTGGGCTGGGCTGGGCTCTAGGGCCGGACTAGCATGGAGGCAGGGCACCCGGGTGGGGCCTACCTGTGGCCTGACTTCTTCGCCCCTCTGCAGCGCTGGCAAGACCTCAACGTGATCAGCAGCCTGCTCAAGTCCTTCTTCCGAAAGCTACCTGAGCCTCTTTTCACTGATG